CGGATCTTCACGGGTCTGATTGGTCATTTATGATGCCTAGTTTGACATGAATGGGTAGAACTCTTGATCCCAGCAGTGATAACTCACCGGATGTCTATTGTGTATTTCCTTTTCTTCAATTGACAATCGTTATATACTTGTTACAACTGCTGTTCAATAAACAGTGTTTGTGTTTGTATTCAGGTTGGTATTTCTGCTGTCCAAAGTGTGCAGTGAGGCCATCTTATTGTTGATTGTTATTTTGGAGACATAAATGTGAAGTTTCATTAATGCGAACAAAGACCACTCACATTTTTCGCATTGAATTCACGCTTGCATTAATTTAAAGATTAACAGTATTTAGATCATCATATTGCTGTGGTCTGTCTGTAGTCAACCAAGTAAGAGCTCTGTGTTTTACTTGTAACAAGGCAGGAAGGTATACAAACGATGACAAGAACCTGTCTCATGTAATTTGTCCATGGCCATTTGTAATATTTGCCTCTATTCTTACGTTTTTAGAACAATGTACGAATGAAATTGACTGTGTTTGCAATCTAATGAGACATATGTGTATGTCTACTGTCTGTACTTACGACATCTGTACAGGGGCAGGTGGAGACTGCCATCTTCTGTACAGCACCTGTCACTGTACACCTGGAGAAATATATAAATGTTAAAGGCGTCACTAAACCTCATTTCACCTGATGACCTTACAGGTTAAAATGAGGTTCAGCATTGCCTTTAACATTTTTATATGATTTCTTCATGCAGGTATAAATTTATGATTTGCATCACATAAACATTTCAAAGCACAAGTTCAAGGCATGCTTACATGTTAAAGTGGTTGCTATTCATGCTAATGCATTTTTGTAATTCAAGGGACAAGTGAAATACCTTGAGGGTTAGTTGTGTCGTAAGTGCTCCTTGCCCTCGTGCATAGAACAGACAAGATGGCCCAGTGTCTCCGGCTGCAACACTACGCCAATAACATCTTTTCTTCCTGGTGTGTTGCTGTCAAATGCACCTGTTTCACTTATTGATAATAAGAACAGTAGAAAATGTCAGTAAAAAGGATTGATAAAAAAAATTAAATTTTGAGCAAGTTTTGTGCATTGAGGTTTTATTTTATGTATATATGTCCTCATTGATTTTGTATGCCCCAAACAATAATATGGTATTCAGTGATTTTGCAATAGAACATTTATAAAATTTTATCATCTTTGGATAGGACATTAGGTATAGGTATTACAATGTTGAAAAATATGTGGATGACAATCAGTCAATGTCCAGGAAAATGAACTGATGAGTAATCCTGGGTATTGTGTTACGTTTGTATATCTGCAGTACAACCAGGGATCAGGTGGTCAGGCTCGCTGACTTGGATGATGCATGTCATCGTATCCCAAATGCTTGGATCGATGCTCATGATGTCAATCACTGGATTGTCTGGTCCAGACTCGATTTTTACAGACCGCCGTCATACAGCTGGAATATTGCTGAGTGTGGCGTTAAACAAAAGACAAACAAATAAACAAACATACCAGTAAAGTGAAATAGGACATCAAGCTTGACTGTGAATTTGCCAGTCCTGTTAAAACAACTGTGTCAGTAACAAGTCCTTTGTACTGGGCCAAAATAAGACAGAAAGTTAGACTTGATTCTCTTTGAGAGATGTTTTTCATTGACCTATCAAAAGCTGAAGATGAAGATGGGTTTTATTGTTGTTGACTCGTACCTTTTGCTCCCATGCTTTTTCAGGTGGACAATTGACTTTGCATGTGTTAATAACAGGTGTCACGTGTGGGACCGGATATACTCACCTTTCCCGAACACCTGGTTTGATAATGATTCATAAACACGTGCTCCTGATTGAGTCGGACTTGTACAATAAACTCTGCTTGTGGTAGAAATCGGTTTTGATTGTGGAAATGGTTTTGTCGCTTTAATTTAATTGTAAAACTGATTGAGTTGCTATGACAACACATGCATGTTAGTGAAAAAGGTATGAAATCTACTTAGAGAAATAGTTTCAAGAAAATATTGTTAGTCCATCATGGTGTTTGCTTTTACAACAAAAACTGTCCCTGAAAAAATTGGAGTGTTAAAACTGCATTTATAGTAGCAAATTACGATTCGCAAATACTATAGAGCTGGAACATATGAACTGAGACACACACACAAAAAAAGATGTTAAAAAGAAAATATGGAAACTGGTGTGGGAAGATGTGTGTCATATATATAACTAAGTTTTTTTAGCAGAAACAACCTTCTCCTTTTGATGTTGTAAATTCATAATTTCCTCTGAGAAAAAAACATACTTTTAGAAATACACAACATTTTTATATGTTGAATGTTTTACATGACACAGGAAGCAATGTGGGTTTTTTTATGAAATCCTGAATGGCAGTTTAATTGCTCTTGACACTTTGTAATGGATGTGTTAGCATTCTTGTCTTCTCTTGTTTTATGTTGGTGTTAAGTTTTTGTTTGATGGCTGTACAGCTAGTGGCCAGGGCTCCATTTCACAAGACGATGGAAGCGCTACACCAGTCGTAACTCCCATAGTTTTACATAAACGTATGACAGTCGTAGCACTACCGCAGACTTGTGAAATGCAGCAACCGAAATTGGCACTTTAGTTGTTGCCAAACTGCCCAATAGTTAATGTATCACAAGGACAAGTAAAACTTTGCCATTTTGGGGGGATTATTATGTCTTATCATTGTAAGGACTAGCGGAATAGACTAAATATGTAAGTTTCTACCACTGGAAATGTAGCCCTGATTCTACCAATACAGCTGTAACTATAAGCTTATCCCTAATTCAATAAACGTTGCTATATCAGATATGTACATCATATATACTATATACTTTATTTTTGTAGACATTTATCAATGGCCATAGGAGATATTTAGTTTTTTATCAAATTGCACATGATAATATTGGTACAGACTGGAAATCTGTTGCTATCTGAAAGTCTCTTTAATTGACATGGTTGGTTGCATATGATTATGTTGGATTAATGAGTATGTCAGATAAAAGAAATTAAGTAGTATCAACGCTTGTCATAAAAATCAGACAGCTACATGATAGATAATGATACATTAAAGTTGTAATAAATAATTAAAATGGATATATTCATATTATGTTATATTTAAGCGGAATGTTTTCTCATCATGCAACCTTAAAAGCTTACCACAGGATATTCCTAACTACTGTCTATATGGGATGTATGACTGATTCAAAATATTTTTGAAAGCTTAATCTGGTATGGAAGTCACCAGTTTGAAACTAGTGCCGAAAGCTTAAGAAAGCTGCTTTTTTAATTGATAATATAGACTTCCTGTTTGTTATTTCATTTATTGGTCAAATTTTGCGAAAGGTCCGATCCATATCATGATACTTGCATGTGCTTTTATCTGTGGTGCGTAAGCCATCTTTATCATAGACAGGATGGCCAAATATCTGGCATACTAATGATTTACAGTTGGCAGTGTCAAGTATGGTGCAATGAATGAAAATATTGACGTATTCACTACTCATTTTCACAAGTAATGTGTTTGGTGTAAATACATTTAAGATAAGAAGCGATACTTTTGCTTAGTATGAGACTGTGATCAATATTTGTATGGAGAAGTAACCAATCGTGATCCACCGATGCATTGGTGTATTGTCCCACTACTACTATGGCGCAGCTCCTGTTGAAATATTCAGTCAGTCCTCCTTTACATACCCCTTCCATACTGCGATCCGGATCCAAAGAACATCAGCTGAGCAGACAGAGTGGTATATGTTTCACTGTAAAAGTGGGGCGGTCGGGTAGCCTAGTGGTTAAAGCGTTCGCTCGTCACGCCGAAGACCCGGGTTCGATTCCCGACATGGGTACAATGTGTGAAGCCCATTTCTGGTGTCCCCCGCCGTGATATTGCTGGAATATTGCTAAAAGCGGCGTAAAACCATACTCACTCACTTCACTGTAAAAGTATGTTTGTCTTTGATTTGTCTTCAATGTTTTTTATATGGATAACTCAAGCGCATGTTGCCATTTTGTCCTCACAGCACAACCTCAGATAACCGCCTGTAAAATAAAGTGAAACAAGGCGATGGGTTTAATCTTTAGTGGTCATCCGCTTCTAGTAATTATATGACCAATTAACTCGGTTTTAACTTAATAATCTTTGTGTTTGAATTTAGTAAGCTATGTTTTATTTAACTATCATCAGTTTTAGTCCAAATCTCCAATACACACCTTTTACAACACTTGCTAATACAATAGTTGTAAACGCAATAGGAAATGATTTGATTTGATTTGATTAAATTAATAGATTCCTAATATTCTTCAAAACCTGACATCCAATTGGTTTGGTGTCAGTTTTGTCTGAGTAAATTCGATATTCACGTTATTGTATTATACAGAGAAAGGACGTATCATTGTCACGTTTAGTGTGTCATTACTTGGCCTCACAACTGTAAATACAGAGTCAATTATCTCTCGGAACAGCATTGTGTCGGAGGGGCAAGTAGTAGTACAGTTATATAGTGTCCACGGACAACAGACAGAATGCTTCTTCTCTTTTAGAGGTGGGAAAATAGAGTGTAAAAATTGATGAGCTGATGTGTACATTCCATTAGAAACAACGACTGATAGGAAGCCAGCAAAAAGGAGATTCTCACTATCGCACATTTACGTATTTCATAATCAACTTTCTCAACAGACTGACTTCTCATGTACTGATCTTAATGGACAAAATGTGTAATGCTCTTTACAAGGGTAAAATTAAAGGTGTTTGTGTTTGCAAAAAGGCTTTTTCCGAATACTTATCCTCGCCTTTTCTAAGATATGTCAACTCCAATTCAAATGAGTTTAGCCGACACAGAGGGACAGCATTTATACAATTGATTTTATGAAGCCACCCAATCAAGCTAATTTCATTGGCTGGTTCCGGATAGCGGGCTGAAGCAAGTGGTTGGTATGACTTATGAAGCATGCAGCATGTTCACTGTTTATAGGCCATAGTGTGTGAAGGGAACGTGCTCTATGTGACAGACCTAGGAGACAGTCCACAGCTCCATCTCCCAGCACAATCAGCTATCACCCCAGGTTTTACAATACTAGTGGCTGCAGCAGGCTGTGTGTGCTATTGAGTTACGGGACTCGCTGGAGAGTACTGGGGGTTGCAGCATGTGAGTAAACAAAGGGTAGGGGCGACCACCAAACTCAAACTTCAATGTTTTAGTTGTTTCTGTAAGCAATATTTTTGTTGACTTGACATCAACAAATCCTGTTGTTTTGTTGAACTTTATTTGACTTTGGTGTCTGGCAGCATGTCTACAGAATATTATGTGGGTTGTTGTAAAGTTTGTGTGTAATTGATTAGTATTGTACCTGGCTGACTTAAAAGAATGTCAACTTAGTATTAACATGCTCGTTTGCATAATTCTGTTGTCATGAAATGTGTTTTCAATAAAATAATGTATGGGATAAAATTGTGGTAACTGTTACTAGTTTCAATTTGCTGTGCTGATCTTAGTGGAAGGTGTGTTTTTATGGGTAGAATTGTATGGTAATCTGACTGCTCCTGGTTTGCTGTAGAAAGTATTTGTTTCCAAGGAACGGAGTATTTTGAAGAGTTTTTGCCTCTCATCACTGGACATTGTATTATGAGAGTTGTGTTCAGCAACTTTAAGTATTCAGGTATTTTTCTTCATGTTTGTTTGGTTGAGTTTGTTTTGAGATATTGTTCACGTTATTGTACCTGCTGGTACAAATTGCAGTTGGAAAAAAATGTATTTCTACTCAGGGTATTCCGTTCTTATTCAACATGACTTAATTGTGATAGAATGCCAATCAAAGATTGGTTGTAATTTTTTCACAATCTGTGTCAATTAAGATGTTCCGTATTTGCTAATTTTCTCTGGGTGTCAACTGTTAATGAGACTAAGTAATATGTCATTGTCAGTTGAGGTTGTAAATTCATATGATCATTCCATCATGACTTGCCACTCTTATAATTGTACAATTTAGTAATGAACAAGGATTATTTACAAAATCCTTTTGAAGCAGAACTGATTTCTGTATTTATTCATGGCTGATATTCTAAGAATAAAGATATACCAGGAATGAAGGGTAGTTTTTATAAATGAATGTGTTGACAAGGTTTTTAAAAGATATTTTTCTGATGAAAATAATTGAAATTGAAAATATAAAATATACTATTTAGAGCAGCATAAGTGAAAGAAGAAGTCTGTTGGCCTTGTCTAAAGATGTTTTAATACGTTCACAGCCTTGTTTTTCCAATAGTACTGATGGGCATTTATGTGTGTCCCAGTGGCCATATGGTGCTGCAAGATGTGCAGCAGGGATAGACCAAACACTTGTCTGTTAGTCCGAGGCTTGTGATAGACACGGCCACTTGTCTGTTTGTCTGAGACTAGTGATAGACACGGCCACTTGTCTGTTTGTCTGAGACTAGAGATAGACCAGCCACTTGTCTGTTTGTCTGAGACTAGTGATAGACCAGCCACTTGTCTGTTAGTCTGAGACTAGTTATAGACACGGCCACTTGTCTGTTTGTCTGAGACTAGTTATAGACACGGCCACTTGTCTGTTTGTCTGTGCACTTGTCTGTTTGTCTGAGACTAGTGATAGACCAAACACTTGTCTGTTTGTCTGAGACTAGTGATAGACACGGCCACTTGTCTGTTTGTCTGTGCACTTGTCTGTTTGTCTGAGACTAGTGATAGACCAAACACTTGTCTGTTTGTCTGAGACTAGTGATAGACACGGCCACTTGTCCGTTTGTCTGAGACTAGTTATAGACAGGGCCACTTGTCCGTTTGTCTGAGACTAATTATAGACACGGCCACTTGTCCGTTTGTCTGAGACTAGTTATAGACACGGCCACTTGTCTGTTTGTCTGAGACTAGTGATAGACACGGCCACTTGTCTGTTTGTCTGAGACTAGTTATAGACACGGCCACTTGTCTGTTTGTCTGAGACTAGTGATAGACACAGCCACTTGTCCGTTTGTCTGAGACTAGTTATAGACACGGCCACTTGTCTGTTTGTCTGTGCACTTGTCTGTTTGTCTGAGACTAGTTATAGACACGGCCACTTGTCTGTTTGTCTGAGACTAGTGATAGACACAGCCACTTGTCCGTTTGTCTGAGACTAGTTATAGACAGGGCCACTTGTCCGTTTGTCTGAGACTAATTATAGACACGGCCACTTGTCCGTTTGTCTGAGACTAGTTATAGACACGGCCACTTGTCTGTTTGTCTGAGACTAGTGATAGACACAGCCACTTGTCTGTTTGTCTGAGACTAGTGATAGACACGGCCACTTGTCTGTTTGTCTGTGCACTTGTCTGTTTGTCTGAGACTAGTTATAGACACGGCCACTTGTCTGTTTGTCTGAGACTAGTTATAGACACGGCCACTTGTCTGTTTGTCTGAGACTAGTGATAGACACGGCCACTTGTCTGTACGTCTGAGACTAGTTATAGACACGGCCACTTGTCTGTTTGTCTGTGCACTTGTCCGTTTGTCTGAGACTAGTTATAGACAGGGCCACTTGTCCGTTTGTCTGAGACTAATTATAGACACGGCCACTTGTCCGTTTGTCTGAGACTAGTGATAGACACGGCCACTTGTCTGTTTGTCTGAGACTAGTGATAGACACGGCCACTTGTCTGTTTGTCTGTGCACTTGTCTGTTTGTCTGAGACTAGTGATAGACCAAACACTTGTCTGTTTGTCTGAGACTAGTGATAGACACGGCCACTTGTCCGTTTGTCTGAGACTAGTGATAGACAGGGCCACTTGTCTGTTTGTCTGAGACTAGTGATAGACCAAACACTTGTCTGTTTGTCTAAGACTAGTGATAGACCAAACACTTGTCTGTGCACTTGTCTGTTTGTCTGAGACTAGTGATAGACCAAACACTTGTCTGTTTGTCTGAGACTAGTGATAGACACGGCCACTTGTCCGTTTGTCTGAGACTAGTTATAGACAGGGCCACTTGTCCGTTTGTCTGAGACTAATTATAGACACGGCCACTTGTCTGTTTGTCTGAGACTAGTTATAGACACGGCCACTTGTCTGTTTGTCTGAGACTAGTGATAGACACGGCCACTTGTCTGTTTGTCTGAGACTAGTTATAGACACAGCCACTTGTCTGTTTGTCTGAGACTAGTGATAGACATGGCCACTTGTCTGTTTGTCTGAGACTAGTTATAGACACGGCCACTTGTCTGTTTGTCTGAGACTAGTGATAGACATGGCCACTTGTCTGTTTGTCTGAGACTAGTGATAGACACGGACACTTGTCCGTTTGTCTGAGACTAGTGATGGACACGGCCACCTGTCTGTTTGTCTGAGACTAGTGATAGACCAGCCACTTGTCTGTTTGTCTGAGACTAGTGATAGACCAGCCACTTGTCTGTTTGTCTGAGACTAGTGATAGATAGGCCACTTGTCTGTGCCAGAATCCTCTGTTCACAAACAGGGCGTGATTTAGCTATATAAAACAGTGCAACCTATTATTGAAAAGTGCAACCTAATATTTATGTCAAGATAAAAAATTTATTTTTGAACTTACTTTATGCCTTTCGAGTTTATTTACTATACAGGGGTGGTCAGGAAGCCTAGCTAATGGTTAAAGTCTTCACTTGTCATGCCGCAGACCCGGGTTGATTCCCGACATGGGTACAGTGTTTCTGGTGTCTGTTATATTGACGGAATATTGCTAAAAGCGGCGTAAAACCATACTCACTCACTCACTATCTACCATCCTTCATCACCAATCCCTGTGCTATGTATAATTTGTCATACTTTCTTGGGCTTTATGTCATCAAACTGTGGGTACTTCAAGATTATGCGCACGTTCCAGTTACCCGTTCTGACAGTGCGTCACTAATTCATGTGACACTGACAGCAGACAGCCTAATCATGTTTCAACCAAGATAAACTTGGTTTCATGTCAATATGCCCCTGGTGCGTCAAGTTCCTTCAATTGAGCCCTCAGGCAGGTTTGAATCACAGAGAGATTGACATTGATTACTATCCTTGGTTTGTCCTCACCTTACTTGCTTGTTGATACCCGTGAAGATCCGAGTTAGAATAGGCCTTCAGCAACCCATGCTTGTTGTAAGAGGCGACTAACGGGATCGGGTGGTCAGGCTCGCTGACTTGGTTGAAGCATGTCATCGATCCCAATTGCGTGGATTGATGCTCATGATATCAATCACTGGATTGTTTGGTCCAGACTCGATTATTTACAGACTGCTGTCATATAGCTGGAATATTTCTGCATGTGGCGTTAAACAACAAACAAACAAAACAGGCTTTTTGTGAAGATCCGTGTAGAATAGGTCTTCAGCAACCAATGCTTGCCGTAAAAGGCGACAATGCTTGTCGTAAGAGGCGACTAACGGAATCGGGTGGTCAGGCTCGCTGACTTGGTTGAAACATGTCATCGATCCCAATTGTGTGGGTCGATGCTCATGTTGTTAGTCTCTGGATTGTCTGGTCCAGACTCAATTATTTAGAGACAGCTGTCATACAGCTGGAATATTGCTGAGTGCGATGTTAAACAACAAACCAACCAACTTGCTTGTTGATATAAAACAAATGTGGTAAAATGTCTACCGCTTCCTCCGTTATGGTGGCACGCCATTTTATAGCTGAAAAACCTGGCTCCCTCACTCACTAGTGAGGTTCACCCATGAAGATCCAGGTTAGACTTGGTTGGTGCATGTCATCGTGATGCATGCTCAGGATGTCAGTCTCTGGATTGTCTGGACCAGACTTGATTATTTACAGACTCTGTCATACTGCTGCAATATTGGTGAGTGCAGCGTTAAACAACAAACAAACAAAACAAAACTAGTGAGGTTCCAGTACAGACATCAATCATCTTGAACTGTATATAAATAAATCCAGAATATTCAGTTTGTTTAATTATGAAAACTCAAATTGGAACTTGGAAATTAGCTTTATACTGTTAAAATGTATATTAATTCAACATCCACCATGAATTATCATGTGTGTGGAATATTTGATTACTTTAACAGGAAACACTGACTCCACTTCTATGGGAATATCTTTCTTATTTGAAATAAATTCTTAAGGAATTTTGTATTGTTTTTATGAAAAAGGATCACAAAGTTCTTGTTCTGCCTTTCTGTCTTTTGCTTTAAA